TCTGACGGAGGGAGCCGCAGGCAGCGGCTACCGCCTCCGGGTCGTACACGATGGCAGGGGTGAACTCCATATCCAGCTCTGGCAGGAGCTCCAACTGAACTCCGGCGTCCACTTCGTCTTCCAGATAAAGACTGATCCCCGTTACCTCCTCAAACTCGCGTAATATGCGTTGCAGCGGTTGAAGGTCATCACAGCAGTCATCTGACAAAGTGAAGCGTCACGCAACGGGGCCGGAAAGGATTGAGGAGACAATACTGCAAAGTCACTGCGAAAATAACAGGCCTGACACCGGTCTACAACCTCGAAAAGCGAAGCAAGTCTACAATCATTTCGCAAATTACTTGTGTTCCACAGAGTAGGAACCTTGAAGCCATTGCGAACGAATCGCATGAAAAAAAGCTTCAACTCCTCCGCCAGCTCGCTCAAGGCACCGGTGTTCATCGGACGCTGCCAGACCACCTTCAAATAAGAACACAAATGTGTAACAACGAAATGTTTTTCGGGTCATCAGAATGAGCGCACCATACTACGAGAATAATTTTCCAGTGATTGCTCCAGAAAACATGGCACCAACACGAAGGGTTTGGGGATGGTTGAACGAAGCAGAGACAGGAGAAATTTTCACCTGCTTACATTCGTTGAAGACTGTGAAGGAGCCGTACACTGGTCTTGTGCGCTCCTCGCCCGCTTTTGCCCGGAGCCGGATGATCTTCGCAAACTTAAACGAAGAATCCCCACCCAGAATGTCTCCGTCCCAGCGCTGCATCAAGCGGTGGTGATACTCCTCCAGGGTCCAATCCACGCTATCCACCTCCAGCACGGGGAGTTTCGAGAAATAAAACCGCCTCACGTCCCGCAAATAGTGCTCCGACGGGACCGCACCGCCGTACTTTGTCGAGTCATCAAAGCTGCCGAACCTCTCCGGAGTTTTGGCGAGGTTGGCCGAGCGGAAGATGCCCGAGCTGGTCCGCCGGGTGTTGACCAGAGAGGTGTACTTCAGCTGGTCCACCATGAACTTGGTCGTATGCGCCTGCAACAGCATTAATGAGGGCGACACGTTTTCGTTGTAGCACGGGTCGGCGCTTATGAGATCCGACATTTCCCGCAGCAACGTTTGCGGTACCATCCGCAAATGTTTTGAACAGGCTAGGAAAGCCAAGACCAGACCAACCCGTTATCTTAAGACGCTGCAGATGAGACACTGCATATTCACCTGACGAATATTCTTGGCAGCAGCGGAGAAGCCCTTCCCATGCACCAAATCATCTGCAAGCCGGTCCACCATGCAAATCTCAATGCCCGATCGCTTGGTGAGAAGGAAAGGGAACTCCTTGGAGATGTACTCCGGGAGACGCCGGAGGCACCCAGCATCCCACGCGTTGAAGCTCGTCTTGCGCTTTTCCGCCTCCTGCTTGCCTTTATTGAACTCCGCGCACTTCGCACACTTGTACCTGCACGTGCATGGGAGAAAACATGCACCACGAGCAATATCGTCGGAAAACCACAAGACGAACTCCAATCTACCAGAAACCCAGAATTCGTCGGATGCCACGAAAACATGACTGATGAAGTTTATCGAGCGAACACTCTTCGTCGCATGCTGAACTTACCGAAACCCCATCACGTACGCCACGTCGTGATCCATGAACACCCGGCGTGGCCCCTGAGGGTTCCAGCCATCAGGTGCGCCCTTGCCCCCACATCCTGGACAAGGAACTGCCTGGAGCTCTGGGAACAAGAACTCCGGTATCCATACCAATACCGCCTTCTGATAAAACCGGTCGAGTTTCGGTAGGTCTGGGCGCGCGTAAATGTGAGGTAGATATGGCAGAACATCAGGCACGCGAGACAAAAAAAATAGCCTACCGGGGGATGGGATGTATTTTCCCTGGACGATATAATCTGAAAAGAAATATAGATAGGCAGCTATTTACCCCCCCCCCAAAAAAAAACAACTCCTCTGGCGTACCTGGTGATGGCTGAAAAGTGGCACACTTCGGACGCACGAGCGGGTTGTCAAACGGGAACCGGCCTTTCACACCACCTCCCTCGTGGGTGATACTCTGGTCGATCTTGTCCTTCACTTCTTCAAAGAAGCGTTCCTGCGCACTGGATGTTGAAGTATCATCATCGCCGGCCCCTCCACCGGCGGCTCCTCCAGCCCCACCTCCTCCTGCTCCACGACCTGGCGCTGCTGCCCCTCGCCCCCCTCCTCCACCTCCCCCACGGCCGCTCATCCCCCTCCTCTACCTCCTCCACGGCCGCTCAGCCCCCCTCCTCGTCCTTGTTGGCGCGCTCCGCGGTCGTGACCTCCGCTTGCTGTTGGTCTCGCCGCTGCCGCCCCCGCGGCGGCGGCTACTTCCGCTGCTGCTGCTGCGAGTTGTGCCGGTGTTGCTGCCCCTGTTGCGGCCTCTGGTGCCGCTGATATTGCCGGTGCTGTTGATGCTGGTACTGACCCCTCACCTATTGGAGAGGATAGCTCTGCTGGAGCTGCCCCCCCGCGTGCTTGGGAGGCTTCATGAGCACGGATTTTTACCCTTGCCTTTGCTGGGAGGGTGCGGGACGGGTACCGACGCCACTGCTGCTGCTGCTGCTGTTGCTGCTGTTGCTGCTGCTGTTGCTGCTGTTGCTGCTGCTGCTGCTGCTGCTGTTGTTGTTGTTGTTGTTGTTGTTACGAGCTCTGTTGGTGCTGTTGCGGATCCTTCTCCTACGGTTAAGAATGATGGTGCCCGAGCTTCTTCTCCATCTACTCGAGAGTGGTCACCCTCATCGTCCAAGCGAGGAGGCGACTGCTGTTGTGTACCGGCGGGAGGTGGAGTGGACTCGCCTATGGTTGGTGCCGCCGTGCTTGATGAACCACCAGAACCCCCACTAACGTCGACATCGCCAGCGGATGACGCGCTCCTAGCATCCGCACTGCTTCCCTCCCCACTTTGGTCTTCACTCACCCGTGGCCGCTTTGATGATGGCTGGGCTTGCGGGTGCCGGGAAAGCATCCTTGCGAACGCGGCCGCCTGGTTCTTCTGCTGCGCAGCTATCCTCTCCTCTCCGCATTTGTCTTCCGACCCGCTTTTTGTGCGCCATCCTTGGGTTTTGATCCTGGATTTCGCCCCATGGGGAGCGCTGGCTCCACGGTTGCTGTGGGAGAGCTGTTGTGCTTGCCGTCGTGGTCTGTGTTGTGTGTTGTCATCATGTGTTGTCATGTGTCTCGGCGGCAGCGGCCCAATTCGGGTGCTTTGGTCCAATCACAGGTCGTCGTTTTTCATGGTCTCGGGGTCGTTTTTCANTTCCCTGCCTATGGGCCCTGTGCCGAAAAGCCAAAAGGGGTCCGCAAATTCATTCACACACCCGCAGCCCTGGGTGAACACCCAGCTCCGCACACAGGGACGCGCGGGTCAGTTGTCTGAGCTGTGTTGTGTTGGCACACGGCGCAATTACACACAACCGCGGGCCTACGTGTGCTAGCCACAGGGCTGTGGGTTCCATGGGTTGCTCCAGCTCGAGAGATGAGAACGGAGACGTCTCGTTCGAAAGATCAGAGCCCCTTCTGGACTTCAAATGCAAGGTGGGATCCGCATGACAAGTACAGCAGTACACTGGCTGCAAGGCAGTTGTTGTCACAAGCGGACTGATCTATGCCTTACGCCTTTGGTGTAATGCTGAAATGAGCACCGAGCACTCAGGAATTGCAGCAGGCAGCCGCAATGCTGCAGTGTTCATGGAGTGGTTGGCGAAGGTGTTCCCCCACCGGCAGTGTTTCGACGATGTATTCTCGGCGGTGCCATCAAAACGTACATCGTGGCCAACGCGTAGCCGTCATGGACGAGGAGTGGGCTGCCGGGTCATCCCGCGTAACAACAACGTGCGGTATGCCAACACATAGGCTTCTTCCCACCCTCAGACGCCCACATGCCGGAGCATTACAGCAGGGTCCAAAGCACAGCAACAGCGGTCGATATTTTTGCTTCCTGCAGATCTCACCGCGTATGTAGACGACGTGAACACGTGAACAGCAGTAACTGTACCTAAATAAACGACCGCGGCGATACTTACAACGTCCCGCGTCTCAACCGACTTGATCAGTTTTTGTCGACGTTTTGGAAAGCATCCCATTCTCTGACGCGCTGTCGATCTTTAGCTACGTTGCCGCTCCAACCGAGTGGTGAATTTTGTCATTTTTCAGTGCGGTTCCGTATTGTTTTCGTCAACTTGTGCACTTCATATATAAATAGTTGAGCCCCTTGCTGTGTATTCCAGCAAGGGAAGGTGTATCGAAGACTTTCGGCACCATAAAACCCATCACCGTTTTTTTAAAGGCATGAACGGCGTGTGCGTATCTACTGATGAACTACACACGAGATGCGTCCCATCGCCCGTTACTTTGTTGGTTCCCGAGACACCCGTGGACTGCTTGCTGTTGAAGGGATTTGGAACTTTGCTGCACGCGTAATCTGCCGTCGTTCGATGCGAAACGGACAGCACAAATTATTTGTGTCGCCTTAACTCTTGGCTGCACACGGCGAGCAGCATTTGGTGAGTGGTGCGGCAGCAATTCAGACGGGCTCCGAGGATTCAAGTTTCCGTTTATCTTGGCGATGTGTTGAACATGACCCCGACAAACCTTATGCACCATCGAAACCCATGCTTCCGGGAGCGGTTGGCCTAAGAGCTCCTCGAGGGCTTCGTTGTGGGGCGTGAAGAACTTCCGCAGCCCCTCCATTACCTCGTCCGTTACCAAAAAACATGCACGAGGGCGCGCGCGCGCACACACGCGGCGGGGGGTGGGGCATCTGTTTACTGCTTTCCTTTCGTCATCTAGCCGTTTGACCAATCATGCACCCATACATGACACAAACTAAATGACTTGGTGCACACACGCGGGCCCCCTTCTTTCCTCGCGTGGAAGGGTTTCGAGCATGGAGGCGTGCAAGGTGCGGAGTGCGCGGTCCAAGGCTGGCGCAAGACCATGGAGGACGTGGCCTTGGTGCAGTTCGGCGTCCCTCCGAGAGAGGTGTGTATATGTATGACATGACATGACCGGAGTGGGCAGGGGCAGCGCTACCATGCCACAAAGCGCGGGACTGGATCAAACAGCATCGGCACATGGATGCATACCCAGCAGGCAACCACGCAATTCGCCATTCTCGTCGACTAAAAAATGGGGACACTCACGACCCCGTCCAATACTTGGTGCACTCCGGGACTTTCACGCACATCGGACGAGGTCGAGGATGCTGAAACTTCCAATTGGAAACTTTAAACCGCCGGTGGCGACCGATCCTCTCGCTCCCCGCGTTGCTGCCCGGAACATCTGCTACCTGTGATGTTCTGTCCACACGGCGATATGAAGTCATCCCGTTTTAGGCTCAAGGCCTTTCAAGACTCTCCGTTCGGGTCAACCGGCTTATTTTTTTCCCAGTTATGGCCCACCCGGAGGAGAGAGTGGGGTATCATACATGCATCGCCAACATAGACAAGACGCGAAAGACAACTTTGTACCAACGTCTTTCTGGATCAGTCAAAGTGCGCAGGTTGTCTCCGAATACGGGAAAAGCCCCAAACGAAAAAAAAACGCCAGGTCCAATCGAATCCTGAAAGGGAGGCGTGTCCTAAAAACAACTGGTACAGAGTTTAGGTCACTTGGCAACTTTATGCGCCGGAAGGTCTTGAAACAGGCGAAGGAGACCAGCGCGGATTGAACCAGTAGACAAATCTGACATGGAGCGAGTTAGGAGAAGCGGGGGAGTTTTGAAAAGGGAGTAAATACTGAAAGAGTGCGGAATCATAGACGGTGGGAGTTGAAAGGGCAAAGGGATGGGTAGTGTGCGCGACAGAAAATATCCGCTGAAGTGGAGGAGGCCTACCTAATGATGAACACACAGCCGTAAGACCACGTTTTTAAGAGTGAAGCAAAGTAGAAGTTGGGCAGTTGTAGTGCAATGAACCGATGTACGGCGATAGCGAGTAGTCGGATGAGAGATGGAGTGGAGCGAGAAAAAGGCGAAAGAGAATATTTTGCATATCCGTGATGATGTGGTATGGACGCCGCTTTTCTAAAACAAAATGCGGAGCACACAACGGACGGCAGGCCGAGAGAAAGACAAAGTTTTAACTTTTGGATGCGGATCCCAACTACGTTTCAAATTGCAGCAACAGTGAGAATATCACGCGCCTAAATTGACGGATGCTGAAAGGGTAAGAAACAAGAGATGTGGACGGTTGATCAAGCTGTCTTTGCAATAGTAGTTCTTCTTCATGTCGTCCATGCAATGAATCGATGCATTTCTGGCGCTGCTTGGAGCATCTTTGGCCAAAGATGTGTGATCGACTTCTCTCCTATTGCAAATGGGAGCAGGGCACTACTTGTGCTTGGTCTGGTCGTTTCCGACCGCCCCGCCGTTCGCGCACATCTGAAGGCATCGTCCATGAAAGGAATCGATGCCTTGTAGCGTTTCCTGGCGTTCTTCGGCGAAAGATACGCCCGAGGGTGATCGAATGGATGCCTTTGGCAAATGCCTGGCGTTCTCCGCAAACGCTACACCAGAAGATGATCTGCAATCATCTTCTGGTGTAGCGTTTGCGAAGAACGCCAGACAACGCATCGATTCGATCATACTCTAGCGTATGTTTTGCCGAAGAACGCCAGGCAACGCCAGAATGCATCGATTCCTTCCATGGGTGATGCCTTTAGGTGTTCGCGAACGGCGGGGCGGTCGGAAAAGACCAGACCAAGCACCACTACTCTACATCCGGCGTTCACGCACATCTGCAAATGCCATCCATGGAAGGAATCGATGACTTCTGGCGCTGCCTGCCGTTCTTGGGCAAAAGATGCGCTAGAGTATGATCGAATCGGATCCTCTGCGGTCATCTTCCGGCGTATCTGTTGCTGAGAACGCCAGGCAACGCCAGAAGGCATCGATTCCTTCTTTCGATGATGGCTGCAGTAGTCCGCGAACGGCCGGGCGGTCGGAATAGACCAGACCAAGCACCAGTACCCTGCTCTACATCCTTGGCTGCAGCCGCCACGTCTTCTGGAGTAACACTGCTGCAGCAAGCGTTTCGGGTACTACGCTCGGCGCACTCGTGATGTTCGAACGAGCGTTGTCAATGTCTTTCCTCCGAAAAAGGACCGCTTGCCGAAAAACTAAGTTGTAAGGAAATAGGACAGGGAGGGGGTACGCAGACCGTATCCCCTAACCCTAACCCTAACCCAACTCCCCCGATTGCATGCTTTGCCCAACACACCCGGGTTGCAGCTCCCACAA